GCCCGCAGAGCCCCCACCCCCGGGCCTCGCACTCCCGGGCCGCGCCTCCTCGCGTCCAGGCGGGCCTTGGGCCTCCCTCCTCGCCCCCCAGGCCTCCCTCCCCGGGCACCCCGCTGCCGGCGCCCCACCTCGGCTCGCCTCCCTCTGGGCCATCTTTCCCGGGCCGCTTCCACGCGGTGCTGTCCCAGGAGGGAGAACAGAAAGGGGAACTGAGGACGCCCTGCTGGGGAAGTCAGGCCGGGAAATGCGCCTACTGAAGCGGGTTTGGGGGCGGAGATAGGGGGAGACGTTGGAGACTTTAAAAGTGGGGAGGCGGGCGGGAAGGACGCGGCTTCGGCCCCCGCCCTCATTTTGCTGCCCTCCCTACCCCCCCAACCCCCCGTCGCTGACCCTCCCCGGAGGGAGACCGTTCCCGCTGAGTCGTCCTGGGCAGGCGGGGTCCCACCCGGATCCGCCCGGGGTGGGTTCTGGGGCCGCGCGGGCCTGGCTGGGCCAGGCCGGGGTGCTCTGCAGCTGTGGGTGCGCACTGTCCACCACCCCGCCCCCCGGCACCCCGCCAGCGCCGCGGGGTCAAACCCAGCGAGGAGACAGGCTTTGGGACACGAAAGTGGAGTGTTCCAGCGTGACTCTGACTCTCGTCCTCCCCACTGAACTTAGGGTATTGGTTCTTATGTCCTTGCTTTCCTGCCTATCCGTCTCGAAATACAGGTACCCTTCCATTCCCGCGATTCCGAAACGTTTGTAGTGGGGTTTAGTTAGAGTGAATACCTGGCGGCATCGGACAGTGAACACGCACACACACACACACACACACCTGTACACACGCACGCACGCACACCCCCTGCACAGTTGTCTACGCAGCCTCTCCACTGGGAGTCAGCGATGAAAAAGCTCTTCGGCCCCAGGAGGGCGCAGAGGGCTGGCTTCTACCTCTGCCGGCTCCCTCACTTTCCCTACTCCTGGGTGCCGGGGACTCCCTTTTGCTGTTCGGAGGGAGGTGTGCCTGTGTGCCTGTTCTTTACATAAGTGCAGTGCTGGAGGAGTGAGGACGCCAGAAGGAAAGTTTCATCGGACACGTCTCCATGCTCAAGGGGCCGCGGAAAGGCAGGCCGATGCCGCAGAAGGAACGCAGCCCTCTCTGGGGACGTGAAGACAACTGTGCGGATGCAAAGCATGGCTCCATATTTCTTTTATAACATGGTGCAGCCCGGACCTCTCTCTGAACTCCAAACGTCCCGTTTCCCAGTGTTTGCTGGGCGGCCCCTCCTGGGCACCTGTTCCCTTCACACCCTCCAGCAGGTAACACAGTCCTCACTTTAGGGGCTGGCATCCGGGCCCTCTGGGCTCGGGCCCCTTACCCCTCCCTGCTCAGTTGCCCTCATTCGGCGGCCACCCGCTCTGTTTGCCCCAGCCAGCCTGGGCCCCTCTGCGGCCAGCCCTCTCCATAGGCATGCTCACCACGGACACCCACACACCTGGAAAGAGTGAACTCTTTCCAGTTCACTCCTACGGAAGCTTCTAGCTGGCAGGGCTCACTCACTCATGTACTCCTGCGGCAGATACTTAATGTATGCCAGGAGTAATCAGGGTTACTTCTGGGCATGAATTAGGCCCTCAGGGAGCAATAGTCCCTCTTCCCGGTGGTCTTGTGTGGTAGAAAGGAATGACCACTGGGTGGTGAGTCAGGGTGACTTGGATTTCAATTCTGGTTCTGTTTCCAGTTAGCTTTGTGTTCACTCCAATTCTCTGGGCTTCAGTTTATTCATGTGTAAAATGAAAGGATTATCCTAGGGGCTCTGATTCTGTGGCACCTTCGGTTGGAATGTACATCCACCAGAGACTTTTGCATGAGTTTCCCTGTGTGAGCACTTTAGGTGGGGAGACTCTGGAAAGCCCGGACTGCACCCCTCCCAGGTCAAATGGAAATGCCACACAAAGAGGAAGGGACAATGCTCTGTAATCTGCACCAGTAGTTTCTCTTTAGGTATATGAAAACTTTGGGAAAGTCCTCACGACTGTGTGGTTGGAAAGTGGTAGAGAATTTGAAATATTTTTTCTTTTGGAGTTTTCCAAATGTTTCCAATTTTAAGGATTAATTTCTTTAACCTTTGGGTCCCTGGCCCTGGTCCCCTCCCACACCTTCTGTGATGCCAGGAAGCAGGTGAGGGGCCACAGCCCTGCCCACGCTCTGTCATCAGACTTTCAACCTGAGGTGACCTGGCTGTCCTCTTCTGAGTAGCCAGCACCCTTATTTAGGCTGTTTGTGGCCATTGCTCAATTTAATTACTGACTCCAAGTAAACGCTTCCTTTTTCCGTCTCCTGGTACTGAGTCTAGTGTAGGGAGCTGGGGGAGTGGAGGGCCTCGGGTTCCTGGGAGAGACTTTGCTCAGCTCTGGTCACACAGCCCCTGCGGAATCAAGCCACTAAGTAGCTTAAAGAAAGGTGTCTACTTCAGAAGCTTTGGTGGTTTGTGGAAATAACCACGTTTTCGATGTTACTCCTTGGGTGGGAATTTGAATCCGAGATATTTGATGGACTAAGAAGGCAGGTGTCAGTGGCTTCAGGAACACCCATCCCTGGGATTCGACGGCGGAAAGTTGATTTATTAGAGTTTCTAATGGACACTCCCTGCTGACCGGCACCCCAGCCTACCATCCACATCATGAGGGCGCGTAACTAAGGTGACTTGGGCTCATTGCCGCACGCTTTTCCACACAACTTATGGAATCATCACAACAACTTATGGACTCATCACAACAGTTACAGATGCTACTGCAGATGAGAAAACGGACGCTCAGAGCGGGCATCACCTTGCTGGCAAGTGGGCGACAGGATTCCAGCCCACGGCTAAGGTCCTCACAACGATGGGGCTGGAGCAAAAGGACACCTGGGTCTAAGGATGTGCAAGTTACAAATCAAGCCTACAAAAGTTTTAAAGGGTGCATTCTGTCCTCCTGCCTTTTCCTGTCTGGAAAGCCAGGTTCCAGTGTAGGATTCTCAGACGCCTTGGGGATTTGCATCAGGAGTGGGGGAGGGGGCTGCTGGCCTGCAGCCTCCAGCCCCAAGTCTCAGCTTGCCCCCGTCTCTCCCTCTCCAACTCCATCCCACACTGGGAAGGGCCTCCTGGGCTCCTGGGAACACCCCAGACCCCCCAGCCCCCACACAGCCATCCCTGGGACACCACTTTTTGCACATCAGTGTCACTGTCCACCATGAGGGGGGCCTGGAAGCAGGTTGGGACGTTCGTGGGGGGCATTGAGTTTATCAAATCAACTTTACAACAAACACGACCTGACGTCTACCTGCTGGTGATGGAATTGTTGCCATGTTGTGTGGCAATTTGGCAAAAATGGCAGCATGTCTTGCTGTAGTCAGATGGCTTTACCCAGCCCAACCTAAGTGTGTTTGTATTTTCCCAGTCATGGAATCAGTTCCAACACTGACCATTTTCTCTGATACTGTGCATAATATAACAGTCTTCAGTCTGTTCTAGAAGGAAGAGCTCTGTGTGAGGTGACAGAATCCTGGGATCTGATCCCCGATGTGACCTCCAAGCCTCAGCTTCTTCCCCAGCAACATGAGGGGGTTGAGTGACTAGATACAAAGACCTTGAGCCCAAACATCCAGGACTCCCCCAGCACCCCTAGGCCATACTCAGGGGATCTTCCCCCCTCATTCTCCCTCACCCTGGCCCCTTATCTTGAGCCCACACACTGCAGGGTGTGCAGGGTAAGGGGTTGAGGCCCCAGCACACCCAGGTGTTATGGAGGAGGGGAGAGAAGTGCTGGGAGGGGCAGAGGTCCTGATGGGGAGCTGCCTGGGGAGAAGGGGCTCTGGAATGTCCCTGCCAGGTGACCTAGGCTGGAGGCCAGGGGAAGGAAGGAAAGGTGCCTTCATCCCGGGATTTTTAAAACCAGCTGGGGCACCTGGGTGGCTCAGTTGGTTAAGCGACTGCCTTCGGCTCAGGTCA